CTAGTTTCCTGGAACACTTCTAGGATTGGGAGAGGGCGGGGCATGGTAAACAGCCGTCTGGTTCAAGGCAGGACCCAAGAGCCATTGGGGCAAGCCATTAGTCGGGACTGAGGAGCAAGGCAGGATGAAAGAATAGCCAAAGGCCACAGGGACACACCAGAAGCTCAACTGGAAGAGGCAGCCCATTGATGCTCCTTCCTGCCTAAGATGATCCAATGGCCAGTCCATATGGGGGAAGATCGGGTAGTTCCTTGGGTAGCTGCCGCCTGCAGTTCAGTGGTTCATTCACAAAAGATCAAACAGCGCCCACCAGAAAAGATGAGTACCCTCAGAAGAATGGGAAGGAAAACGCTCCTATCCATTAAGAATGAACTCACAGCTGTCCATGGAGGCGCAGGTCAATTCTGTGTCCAGGGCGGCTCTCTACCAGCACCATCTGGTACGCAGGCTCGGACCCTACCTGCCCGCGGACTGTCTTGCCAGAGTGGTGCATGCATTGGTTATCTCCCCCTTAGACTACTGCAATGTGCTCTGCGTGGGGCTACCTTTGAAGGTGACCTGAAAACTGCAGTTAGTCCAGAATGTGGCAGCTAGACTGGTGACTGGGAGTGGCCCCTGAGACCGTATAACACCGGTCCTGAGAGATCTGCATTGGCTCCCAGTACGTTTCCGAGCACAATTCAAAGTTTTGGTGCCGACCTTTAAAGCCCTAAACGGCCTCGGCCCAGTATACCTGAAGGAGCGTCTCCACCCCCATCATTCAGCCAGCGCCAAGGGCCTTCTGGCGGTTCCCTCATTGCGAGAAGTGAGGTTACAGGGAACCAGACAGAGGGCCTTCTCAGTAGTGGTGCCTTCCCTGTGGAACACCCTCCCATCAGATGTCAACGGAAAAAAGAGCTATTCTATTTTTAAAAGATATCTGAAGGCAGCCCTGTTTAGGGAAGTTTTTAATATTTAATGCTGTATTGTTTTTAACACTCAATTGGGAGCCGCCCAGAGTGGCTGGGGAAACTCAGCCAGATGGGCGGGGTATAAATAAATGATGATGATGATGATGATGATTAAAGATTATGGGAGTTTCACTGGTGCACCTGTAGGGCCACAAGTCCCCCATCCCAGCCAGAGAAAGACATGGCACATAAATGCCGATCACCCATAGCTGTAAGAAACAAAGAAGCTCACCTGTGGACCATTGTCCTTGGCCAGAGCTAAGCTCTCTCCCATCTGGCTAAGAGCCAGCTCAGCATCCTAGGTTTTCAATAGACGGACAGAACCTAGCAGCAGATCCATGTCAATTTCGGCTCATGTCACCAGCCACAATCCGGAATAGGTCAGCAATAAAAAATCTTGGTGTCAGTGAAGTTAATGCTTTCTTCAAAGAGATCAATGCCCCCCCCCATTCTTTCCCAAGGGGGGGGTCCTTACCTGGTGCCCCCCCTCCTCTGTATCCAGCCATTCCATGACAGCTTATTAGTAGAAACATCTTGCTCATCCCCTTTTATATTTTCTGCCAACACAATCTCTGCTACAAACGTGAGTCAACAGTACCAGCTGCTGAGACTAACAACATCAGGATAGCTAACAGTTCTTACAATTGTGGGTTTGCATGCAGAGGAGTGACATTAAATTAGCGTACTAATTTTAGTATTGGCCCAAGTGGAAAGAACAGTAAGCTCAGAAAATTTCACAGTTCTGGGTAGGTCTGCTTGGCAACCGAACTTGAATCCACAGAGTTGAAGCTATGTCTATTGCTTTACAGAGGGCAAGAGGGCAGATCTCTTTGAATGTATGTTGTGGTTGTGGCTTTCATGTGTCTGGTTCCTGGCTGTCAACACCCTCTTAGCTGCTCCACTTCAGAGATCCCTCACCCAGCACCCAGTGTCTCTTGATGCTAGGGGTGAAATTGAGAGGCAAGACTTAAGCCACCGTTTGCATGCTATCCATCAGCTGCAGCCTACAATCGTAAAAATGAAAAACATAATAATAATAATAATAATAATAATAATAATTTATTTATACCCTGCCCATCTGGCTGAGTTTCCCCAGCCACTTTGCTGCCACATACAGCTGGACAGCACCATTACTGGCCCCAACAACATCAAACATACCATCTCAGGACTATTTAATTTCTCATCTTCTAACATTGTGTATGCCATCAAATGCCAACAGTGCCCTTCAGTTCTCTGTATTGGACAAACAGGCCAAACCCTACGACAAAGGATAAATGGGCATAAATCTGATCTCAGCAATCACAAGACAGAGAAACTAGTAGGAGAACAATCTCTCAGGACATTCTGTACAAGATCTCAAAGTCTTATTACAAAAGAATTTCAGAAATAGACTGGAAAGAGAAGTTGCTGAATTGCAACTTATTACTTAACTTAAAACCATGGAGCAACCTGGTCTGAATAGAGACATTGGATTCTTATCTCATTATACATGATAAAGCTATTTTTAGCCATCTCACCCCTTGCTTTTTCCTGTAAGACCAATTGCAGTCGTCAACAGGTTTACCACACCTATCAGCCAGTCACCCATCTCCCACCACCCTTCTGAGTAATACCCCTCCCCACCCTCTCACTATACATAAGGGTCTGGTGACTTCTGTTTCAGTGTATCTGAAGAAGTGTGCATGCACACGAAAGCTCATACCAATACAAACTTAGTTGGTCTCTAAGGTGCTACTGGAAGGAATTATTTTGTTTCGACTATGGCAGACCAACACAGCTACCTACCTGTAACTAAAAACAAACTCTACATTAGTAGAAAGAGCTCAGAATGGGTTAGAGTTCCTTTACCCAACTTGGCTCCTGCTCACACCATACTTTGAAAGGCACCAAAACACAATCCCAAGAACGCTTTGAGTTCAAAGGTGATAACAGCAAAGGTGCACATTCATAATTATCTTGTGTTTCGCAAAACACTGCAGGCAAGGAATGAAGTCGGTATGTGTGGCAGGAGCTAGAGAATGCTCTAGCCTCAACAAACTCCCTTCTGTGGAAACAAGCCCTGCTAATTTCAGAGGCACTTATTTCCAAATACTTGCACTTAGCAATTCAGGAAAACAATGCAGGCTGTAAGTAAAGATATACAGCCAAAGCAGTCATCATGAATGGAGGTGCTAAATTGCTTGTCATGAAAGGAACTCGCAGGGAGTTTCAAGCATCCAGGGCAGCTAAGCCAACAAAACAAGAAGGAGTTCCCTGTATGCCAGGGGTAGGCAACCTAAGGCCCGGGGGCCGGATGTGGCCCAATTGCCTTCTAAAGCCGGCCCTCAGAGGGTCCGGGAATCAGTGTGTTTTTACATGAGTAGAATGTGTCCTTTTATTTAAAATGCATCTCTGGGTTATTTGTGGGGCCTGCCTGGTGCTTTTACAGGAGTAGAATGTGTGCTTTTATTTAAAATGCATCTCTGGGTTATTTGTGGGGCATAGGAATTCGTTCATTTTCCCCCAAAAAATATAGTCTGGACCACCACATGGTCTGAGGGACAGTGGACCAGCCCACGGCTGAAAAAGGTTGCTGGCCCCTGTGTATGCGATAATCTCTGCTTCTCATTCCATTTTTTAGGTACTGTGTTATAAAATGTTATGGTGCACCCACACAGCAGACACACACACACCACAAAAAAACCCAATCCTTCAGAATTAAGGAAACATTCCCTGAGAAAGTTATACTTAACTGAATCCCAAATACCACCTTGGCTCTCCTAATGGCTCGAAATATTTCCTTTGCAGAAGGAATATCTTAGAGAAACCTTTCTCTGTAGTTCTTTCATTTACAAATCTTTCAAATCCTGTCTTAAGGGCATATTTTGTATATGAATAGGGCAGGTGTGTGACCTGGATTCAAGGATTAAGAAATTCACCAACTCCAAGGAACTGGCCAGGTTCCTTCAGCAAGCATTATCTCAACAGACAGGAGACTCAAATGTCTGTTGTCTTTCTGTGACACATGTATGATATTTTTGCGGTGGTCTCTGGCTAAGCCTAGGGGTTCATAAAGTTTTTTAAAGTTCCTGCCCATCTTTGTTCTGGGTCCCTTGCAAATGGGAGGACTCCGTTGCAACAGGAAAATAAAGATCTTCCTTGCTTTCCTTCTACTGGTTCCTGCCTTCAACCATTCTTCTCTGACTGATCATGGACTTAAGGGACTCAGAGTCCTTTGAGGAGTTGGGCTGCAAAAGTCAACCCCAAAATTTTCTGCAACAGCTGGTGTAAAGCTGTAGAGAAAAGAATATGCCCCACCAAATGGTGGAAGCAGAAAGTGCAGGGGGGAAAGTTGTTTGAACCCAGCATGTCACACACATTTGTAGGTTGGAAAGAGTTGCACTCCATCTTTTGCTGCAATTGTCTCCAAAGTTATGCATCCTTGTCACTCAGTGACAACAAAGTCCAAGTTTGGCTGCCATGCACTGAGTTCCCTTTTGCAATTCACCCTAGTTGCTGCTTGTTTTCTCCTGCTCTGGAGGACTCGAACCAATGGCTTCAAGTTGCAAGAAAGGAGATTCCGACTAACATTCGAAAAAACTTTCTGACAGAGCCATTCGGCAATGGAACAGACTCCCATGAGAGGTTGTGGACTCTCCTTCCTTGGAGGTTTTCAAGCAGAGGTTGGATGGCCATCTGTTATGGATGCTTTAGCTGAGATTCCTGTATTGCAGAAGATTGCACTAGAGGCTTTAGGTCCATAAATTACAATATAGCATATATTCAACACAAAAAACAGCGACAATTTGTTGTTGACAAAGGACAGCTGGACATAGTAAGGGCCTTATTACCTTCAGTAGCTTAGGGCCTCATCAAACCTAAATCCGGCCCTGTAGCCAGGAGCCATATTTTGAAACTCAATCTGAAAAGGCCCATGAGTATGACTTTGCAAACAATGCCAATGCAGATTAATAAAAGGCTTTATCCAGAACCTGTTGGGTGCCCTCTGGATCCAGGAATTAGAAGGAACTCGGGCATGCAGCATACACCCTGCAAAAAAAAACCCCACAGCATGATAATAATAGTAATAATTTGCAGAAATTGCTTTTCACTGAAATTGCAGACCGTTAGACCCTGGCCCTCGCTGCCGGTCAGAGGAAGAACTTGGAACTCCCAGCTCAGTTTCTGGCAAAGGCTTTAATGCATAAGTCAGATTGGTACATAAGCAAGGCACAAGGTACAGCAGGTACAGCAGGTACATCGGAGGTATAAATACATAGCTAAGCGCAAGACGTTCACCCAATAAGCGATGTGGCCCCTGCACCTTGCTTTTGGGCAGAGCACACAGCGCAGCAAGCAGTCAGAGCCCCAGGACTCTGCAGAACTGGCACTCCTCTGAGTGGGCTGGGCTTGTGAGGTTCGCATTGGCATCTCTTGTGCCCTTGCAGATGGAGATGGGGGTCAGCGCCACCTCAGCATCCAATTTAGTCTCATTTGGTAGGTGAAGATACTACCAAGGTGGGGTGGCAGCTCCCCAGCAGGAGGTATCTGATTAGGAATGCCCAGTGTCAGGGGGCAGAACACCCCTCTATCTGCCTCCTTGGTCCACCCCCTCCTCTCTTCATTCCCCGGACTACTGGCCTCCTCCCCAGACTCAGACACTTCTCCGGTTCCGGGTTCCACCTCCCCCATCTACTAGGACACTCTCCAGGATTGCCCAGATCCATCTCCTTGAGCTCCTCCTATTCTTCCTCTGGATTAGACCATCCCCTTCATGACACTAGGAAATCTGTGTCTTCACACACATCGAGAGTGAGCTTTCCAACTGCATTTCCATCTCTTCTAACATTCTTGCCAGGGTTGTGTACAGGGTGGATCTCATTTAGATAATTTAAAACAACCACAACTAATTTAAATTAAGTAGATTTGCTTATGTTCTCTTGTTTTGCATAATTTGTTCAGGTTTTGCTCTATGTGAGGCTGGGCAATGGGCTACTCAGGGCATTGAAACATTCAGCTGCACCCTGGAGGCATTTCAAGAAAAACTTTACATCCCTAAAAACTAGAAACTTTGTGGGGGGGGGGTTAAATGAAAGCTAAAATTCTGAGGAAGATGAATTCCATACTGTTTCCGTACCCCCCCAAGTCACCATTTATGCATAGCCCAGATAACAAGTAACCTGTTTTGTCCCGTCCCCCCCAACTCTGTGCTTTACAAAGAGTCAGAAGGCCCGTTGGTAAGAGAGACAAAAATGCCTGGCAGCATCCCTGCATTTTTCCAGTGGATATTTATTCCTACCTCTTGTTAAAATGTGATGCCTTTTGATATTTGATATTTGCATCCAAAGTCCATTTTAGCTCAGCAAACAGAATAAATCTCCATGGCCTTCGCAGATTCCCCCCAGGCAAAGATTTGAAGCATTTCTTCACAGCATCGTGTCAAACTTTCATTGGGCTGGTTGACACACAGATTCATCAGGAGGTGTTTGCAAAATCAGCTGGCCAGCTGTGTGTATGGAAGAGCCAATGGCCCTTTCCTATACCCTCCCCCATCTTCCCTTCAGACACAATCTCCTAAAACAAGTCAGTTCTAACAATTGGCCATAATTCGTCATGTATACAGAGACATCAATTTATGTACATCATGCACATACGAAACAGGGCCATGCACCTGCAACATTGTCCAATTACGGAGAAAAGTCTCGCAGTGCTTGTTTGCACAATGTTTATTTGGTGCCAATGGGCTGTGTTCCGGGCATCACACTGATGTAAAACGACCCCTGATTACAACTGACATAGAATGAACAAAGCAAAAGAGAAGAGGCGAAACAAGCAATAGTGAAATATAATCAACAAGGAGATGAAGGCACGGTGAAAGTGAGGGGTAAGTTGCAAAAGGCCTGGGTGATGTTGAACATGTGGCTGTCGCCGTCTCTGGGATTGCGCCCATTCCACTGACTGCACAATTAGGTGCCATGTTGGTGGCACATCTCCTGCTGAGGCCCTACTGGGCTTGGTCAGGAGGCCGCATGCTGGCAACATGACACATAATCTGACAATGCTTCCACAGCAAACAGGCAGAAGCTACGAGCACTGGAATAGGAGCAAGCGCTGAGCAACCACAGTCTGAGATGCCATGTTAAAAAGTGAACAAGGTTAGGGTTTTCAGGTGAGATTTGAAGGGGGAGGGATAAGCAGGGATGGGGAGACAGGTGAGCCAGGACAAAAAGTGCCACACTTGTGATGGACTGAGCTGTTTCTATGTGCAGAGGGGTAGCCATGGGAGTCTTTGAGGGGCTGCAAGACTCTAACGTTGTTTTCATTACAACAGATTATTTTGGCATCAGCTTTTACAGACTACATTGCAAACTGTTTGTGTGCCAGAGGAGTGAAAGGTGCCTCCAGTTTTAATTCAGGAAAAAGGGGTGTCACACAGATCAGAAGTTTGGGAGTTGCAGCCCAAAATAAAGCATGCCACTGGCTCAGGGCTGGGGGGGGGTGTGTGTGTTCTGTGGCTTTGCAGATGTTTTTGGATGCCAACTCTCGCCACCCATGTCCATTGGAAATGCTGCCATCTGGGCAGTCACAAGTTCTCTGCCCTTGCGCTAGCTTTCGGGCCATAGATTGAGAGTGCATAAGTTGGCAGATGAGATACAAATAATGGCTCAGCAGCCCATGGGGCAGGGAAGCACACTGCCGGATCGCTCTAACTGCATGGAAACTGATATAGTTTCAGGGCTTCGTATTCCCATAGGTCAAATTTGTGTGTGTGGGTGCGTGTGGGTGTGTCAGCCAGTGCTGGTCTAAAGAGGCAACTGTGGTTGTCACTGGATTCTCCTAGTACATGGGAGGGTGTCTAGGGGTGAGCTGCCTCCCACTGGACATTTCCCATGCTAAGTATCAGGTAAGAATAATAGAACCAGGTAAGAATCATAGAATTGTAGAGTTGGAAGGGCCCCTGAGGATTGTCTAGTCCAGGCATAGGCAAACTCAGCCCTCCAGATATTTTGGGACTACAACTCCCATCATCCCTAGCTAACAGGACCAGTGGTCGGGGATGATGGGAATTGTAGTCTCAAAACATCTGGAGGGCCGAGTTTGCCTATGCCTGGTCTAGTCCAACTGCCTGCAATGCAGGAATATGCAGCTGTCCCATCTGGGGATCAAACCTGCAACCTTGGAATTATCAGCACTCTGCTCTAACCAACTGAGCTATCCAAGAGTTTTCCAATGGCTTTCCAATGAAGCTTGAAGACAGACATGCTCCAGGCTCCCTTTTCTATCCAAGGTGCATTAGCTAACGCACACAAGAAATGCTGGCACATTTGCATGGGGAGTAATCGGTCTTTCACATTAACTTGTGCATGTTCTCTTTTTGTGTGCAGAGATGCCTCCTCCACTGAAGTAACTGGGCAAGCGCTTGCTACTGAGGGAGCTGCTTGTGCATGTGCATTGGAATTCATGCACTGATATGGCACATAGTCGTTTCATCTGCTCCTGTTGGGACATACTCTAATTGGTCCACCGGAAGGCACCTTATTCTGTGCTTCCACCCCCCACCCCCCATAGGATGAATACATTTATGGACACCAAAACCTGTTTCCACAGTTATAGCCACAATCATATCGATCCTGTGTAGCTAAGCATGAAATAATTACTCACGAATTCTGACTATTCATAGCAATAATTCCTCCACACATGGCAATACGTTGCACGAGTCTGCAGCAGGAAACGAGAAGGGCAAGCCTTGCACCCACTCAAGTGCTTGAGCACAGAAATCAAACACGGCAAATGCTTAGATAACAGTCAATAGAAACTGGAGCTTTGTAATAATAAAAAACAAGCTTCTGGTCCACATTGTCAAAGTGGGTCAGGATACAAACTCTCCAAGCGCTTTCCTTTAAATAGGAGGACCTCCTTCTCCCACTACTGATCAAAGGCGCAGTTGCGCAAAGGTAAACTTATCCATGTCTTTTTCAGTTTGGAACAGCACGTATTTCTTAAGGTGGATGGGATCCCTCCTGTCTGCTGTAATGTACAGCGTATTTCATAGGCTACTTCGGTAAGAAGAGGCTGCTCCCATTTTTTTGCAGTGGAACCCTAGGTCTGTGCATCACCCAACCTCCTTCTTTCTACAAAAAAATTGTGTTCTGCCACCCAACTAGGATAACCATGAAGCTTAAGGCGCATATGGCACTTCAGCAGTCTCCTCTAAAAGGCACTCCAGAAGTGCAGAGTTGATGATAAAGCTACATTCACCGGCAGATTCTTCCATTCCAACCCCATGAGGCTTTTCCAAGACATACCGCATCCAGTGTAAAAAGATTAGAGTACAATCCCATTAAAAAACTCCAGGCGAGAGAGAGATCAAAATCTGTGCCTTCTTTCTTTTAAAGCAAACACCCACATTTTGAATCTTGGGACTGTTTTCTTGGTGCTTCCCTGGGCTCCCGTTCCGGTACGAAATCACTGCTGAGGTACATCTGCGCTCTTAGTTTGTTCCGATGGGGTGACCTGGATATTAGAGGCAGAGGTTTTCCCTTTGTTTCGGAGGGTGTGAGCGTTGAGCATCTCCAACAGTAGGTCGTAGACGGGAACAACATTCTTGCATTTCATGCTGAGAAGGTGCTCCATCCCTTTGTTACTGTGAAGAAAGCAAAGAGGTCACAGCAAGCCACTGAGGTTTAAAATGCACTGTGGGGAGAGAGACTTTCTGCTGTCCGACAGGCAACAGCTTTTCCCACCTGCCTTGCCCCACCCTCTAGAAGCCTTTCCCAGACCATGACAGCAGAAGTACCATATTTTCGCTCTATAGGACGCACCCGACCATAGGACGCACCTTGTTTTAGAGGAGGAGAACAAGGAAAAAAAAATCTCCCCCTCTCTGCTCAGCGCCCCTTCAGCAAAGTGGCAGGAGAAACGGAGCCCCTTCCATTTCTCCTCCCGCTTGGCTGAAGGGGCGCTGCGCAGCTCTCCCTCTCTGCTGAAGCCAGAAGAGTCTTGCTCTCCCGGCTTCAGCAAAAGGAACCTGAAGCCTTTGGAGTGCAGCGCGAGTTCCCGCTGCGCTCCGGAGGCTTCAGGCGGCTATCCCTGAAGCCTGGAGAGCGAGAGGGGTCGGTGCGAAAGGCTTCAGCGAAAGCAATGCGTAGCCTCCGGAGCGCGGAGGGAGCGCTCCCTCTGCACTTTGGAGGCTTCGCGTTGCTATCGCTGAAGCCAAGGAGCCTGCATTCGCTCCATAGGACGCACCCACATTTCCCCTTAATTTTTGGAGGGGGAAAAGTGCGTCCTATAGAGCGAAAAATACGGTAGCTGGGAAGAGGTCAGGGATATTTAAAAAATAATAATTTTATAGGTTGTGTGTCCTTGTTTCTCAGTTTGACCCTATTACATGGTTTTGTATGTTTTGTGGCATTTTATGCATTGTGACTTGCCATTAATTTTTTGACTGGGAAGTCAAGGAGGAGGAGGTCACAGCGACCATGGTAAAGTGGTCACAAGACTTTGGGTATTCAATAACCATGCCACAGTGGGAAAATTTGTGGAAGAATAATTGGAAATTCACAAACTGTGAATTAAGAGAAAACTTCCTAAAAATGCAACACCGATGGTATCTAACACCTTGGAAACTGTCAAAGATGTACGAAAGTGTCCCAAGTAATTGCTGCAGGTGTGGAGATAAATCAGGCACTTTCTATCATATGTGGTGGCTATGCAAAAAAAATCCAGGCATTTTGGGAGACTATCCACTTAGAAATACAAAAAATAATAAAGATTTCCTTTAAGAGAAAACCAGAAGCTTATCTTTTGGGGATCACAGATTTGGATAGCCCGCAAAAAATGAAGAGTATATTTTTATACACCACAGTGGCAGCAAGAGTTCTTATTGTTACAAAGTGGAAGATTGATGAAATCTCCTCTACCCATGAATGGATCCAAAAGCTAACAGATTACGCGGAGTTAGATAGTTTATCAGAAAAAACAAAGAATAAACAAAAACAGGAATTCATCTCGAAATGGGAAGTCTTCAAAGTTTACTTGAAAAACAATTACAGTAGTTTAAACTCTGTCGCAGCATTTGCGTAACTTTAGTAGTAGATTTAAGAAAGATATGAAACCTAAGATAAATCAAATAATAGATAACTGAAACAGGGAATGGACGGGAGGTCGGGTCTATAGTCCAAGGACCGCTTTTCGCTTTATTGATTTGTAATTAATATTGTCTTTATCACTGTTTTGTTTGTATTTTTGCATTTTTTCCTTTTTTTGGTGTATCAATTAAAAAAAAATACATGGTTTTGTATGTTTTGTGGCATTTTATGCATTGTGACTAGCCATTAATTTTTTATTGAGAAGAGAGGCACCTGTGGAATTTCTGTCTCAAAGCAATAAAAGCATTGTCAACCACTGGACATCCTCCTCTCCCCTGCTATGCATCTGATGCTCTAGTTCAGGGGTCAGGAAACTTACCGCGCCTCGGGCCGGTGTCTCCAGCGCCGATCGCGCGGCGGGCCAGAGGGCAGGGGAGCGCGTGACGATACGCGTGTGCACACGCTATTTCCGGTGCACTTCCAGGTTGGAGAAGCACCGGAAATAGCTTGTGCACATGCGCACGGGTCTCCTCCGACAAGGATGTGCACCGGAAATAACGCTTGCGCATGCGCACAAGCTACTTCCGGTGCTCCTCCGACCTGGAAGTGGGCAGCCGCGCAGCGCCACGCCGGTAAGAGTGGGCAGTGGCAGCAGGCGGCAGGGTCGCCACGGGCTGGATAAACGAGTCCCTTGGGCCTTATCCGGCCCGCGGGTCTTAGTTTGGGGACCCCTGCTCTAGTTAAGCTAACGGCCAATCCATCCCTCTCAATGAACGTTTAATTTCCTCCATGCCATGAAGTTGTCAACATGTGCAGAGGAGGGCAACCAAGATGATCCAGGGTCTGGAGGACTTCCGGGGAGGTGCCTCCGGTAATGGCGGAATTCCTCTGACCGGAAGGAATCTGCTCCGTGGGAATCTGGGTCTGGCTGCCACGGCGAAGGTGGAGACCCATTAAAATAACAGGCGGGAGAAGCCTGTGAGCGTGGGATTCGGCGGGCACCTTTTGCGCCTCCCCCACTCGCGGGGAAACCCAGTTTTTGGGGCTCCGGAGCGACGTGGGGTGAGTGGCGCGGTGCATCGAATCGTCTGCTTCTTCCACAGAGCGAAGCTGCATAGCTGTTGCCAGAGAGCACTGACCTTTTCCTGTGGACAATTTGACTTAATTACCCGTGAGTAGATCTGAAACGGAAGAATTGGATTTCTAAATGTTTAATTTGGTATTGCAACGGGGAGGTTCAAAACAGGAAGTCCGCCTTCCCCTTTTGTAAATAGACTGAGGCAATGAAGTTGCAAGCTGGAGTCCTGGAAAGTCTTTTGTAAAAGATTAAATTTCCATCAATAAAGAACATTAAACCCCCTTTCGGAGGCAGGAGAAGAGAGGGGGAAGTTGTGGATTGATTATGCCTGTGGGAGAGAGTGAAGAGATTTTAAACACCGCTGCTCTGACCCTGGAAACGGGCTGCTAGTAGGACTGACGTCTTTTGGAATGTTTATTGACAGCGTTTAGAACGTTCATTGACAGTTAGTTAAACAAGAGAAATACATTGTTTCTACTGTCTCCGGCTGCTTTAAAAAGGAGTAAAAGTAACTGAAAATTGAAACTAATTTGAAACTAATTTTGGATTGTTGAAAAGAGGATACTATTGACTATTACAAATAGAAACTGTTTCCCCCTAGTGGAAGCCTTTGAAACCAGTTGTTTTACAAGAGCTGGGCTAGGGGAATTTCCAGCTGCAAGTTAAAAACCGTGAGACTCTGGGACTGACCTTGAATCTTTTAAGTGTTATGGTAAATGGAAGAGGAAAAACAGATCAGTCAACTGCTGACAAAACAGTAAGGTCTGGGAGGATTTGGCAACAATCCAGAAGAGGTCCATCATCAGGCCCCCCTGCTCCTTCTGTTGCTGCCTTTGTACCAGCATATTTAAAACCAAGAAGGATGTCGACAGAAGAGGCTTTAGTGGCTGCATTTTATAAGATAAATGACTCATTGGACCAGCTTAACAGGAAAATGGACATGATAAATGCGAAAATGGATGTTTCAATTACTAAAATCAACCTAAATACAGATAGTATAAGTAATACCAATGCAGAAACCACTCAGAAATTGATACAGGAACCTACTTTGATACGGCAAACTGCGGAGGAAGCCAGGGAAAAAGCTGTTTTTTCTGAATGTAAAGTAACACAACTGGAGAGAAAGAGAAAGAGAGCCCCAGCCCTACAGATGCAATTTGATGAACATAAGTTGACGTATGCTATGACTGAACTTAAAGAAAAACAGACGAATTTGAGGATTAGAGTTCACTTTTGGTGGACATGCCCAAGGATTAAGACACTTTGGGAGATGATTTATAACGAAATGAAAAAGGCATTTAAATATACCCTTTTGAAGAAGCCAGAGGCCTTTCTCCTGGGCATGGTCGGCCAATTGGTCTTAAAGAAGGACAGAACTTTTTCCACATATGCAACAATAGCAGCAAGAATACTCATTGTGAAGTACTGGAAGACACAAGATTTATCTGTTCGGGAAGAATGGCAGATGAAGTTGATGGGCTATATGGAATTGGCGGAAACGACTGGCAGAAATCCGAGACCAGGGAGAAGAGTCGGTGGAAGAAGACTGGAAAAAGTTTAAGACTATTTATAGAAATACTGTAAAAATAATGAATGTAAGAAAAATGTTGGAATGAAGTTATATGGCCCTAGTAGAAATGCTATAAGGAATTAAGTATAAATAGATTAATAAACTATTAAAGGGAAAAATAAGGTCAGAATATGTTAAGATAATTATAGGATAGAAACAGAGGAAGATGGAAAGGAATTGCTGAAACAATTAATAGAAGTGGAATACAAAAAGGGAGGTGTGAGGAGGTCCTGGAAATAAGGGAATGAAAGATAAGATATTGAAATTGTTTTGTGTGTTAAATGGTTTGTGTCTTATTTTGTTATGTTTTTTTTGTTTTGTCTATTTTGTTGTGTTTAAATGGTTGAAAATTAATAAATATTATTTAAAAAAAAACAAAAAACAAGATGATCCAGGGTCTGGAAACCAAGCCTTATAAGGAACGGTTGAAAGAGCTGGGTATGTTTAGCCTGGAAAAGAGGAGGCTGAGAGGAGATACACTAGCCATCTTCAGGTATCTCAAGGACTGTCGCATGGAGGGTGGAGCAAGTTTGTTTTCTCCTGCTCTGGACCCAAAGCAATGGATTCAAATTACAAGAAAGGAGATTCCAAACTAAACATCAGGAAAAACTTTATTGGGGTAAGAGCTGCTCAGCAGTGGAACTCTCCTTCACTGGAGGTTTCTAAGCAGAGGTTGGATGGCCATCTGTCATGGATGCTTTAGTTGAGATTCCTGCTTTGCAAGGGGGTTGGACTAGATGACCCTTGGGGTCCCTTCCATCTCTACAATTCTGTGAACTGGGGGCAAATAAGAGTTGTGTGCATGGTTCTTGCTATTAAGCATTAGAGCCAGATAGCAGATATCTGCAGCAGACGTAATTCAGAAGGAGGTGGTAAACTGGTCTGTACCACTTCAGGCGAAGATGTTTGTGTGTGACATTTCTAAATGCTTCTAAACACCCTGGAGGCAGAACATTAGCACAGAATGAGAGTCCTGACCTAGACTTGCTCTCCCTGATGGAGTAATTTTCTACCTACAAGAATTATTTTCTCGTATCTTGCCTCCCCTCCCATTCACACACAGCTGAAGTGGTACAGTCTGTTCCATCTTCTCCGAACTTGGCCACCTCATTGGAGCTTGCGAATGTAGTCTCTGCCATGGCAAACCAGCTGAGTACCTAAGTGCATTTTCACACAGGAGGCTTAAAAATTGCTTTTGAGCCTTTCTCAAGCTACTTAGGGACACGGGTGGCGCTGTGGGTTAAACTACAAAGCCTAGGACTTGCTGATCAGAAGGTCGGCGGTTCGAATCCCCGTGACGGGGTGAGCTCCCATTCCTCGGTCCCTGCTCCTGCCAACCGAGCAGTTCGAAAGCACGTCAAAGTGCACGTAGATAAACAGGTACCACTCCGGCGGGAAGGTAAACGGCATTTCTGTGCGCTGCTCTGGTTTGCCAGAAGCGGCTTAGTCATGCTGGCCACATGACCCAGAAGCTGTACACCGGCTCCCTCAGCCAATAAAGCGAGATGAGCACCGCAACCCCAGAGTCGGCCACGACTGGACCTAATGGTTAGGGGTCCCTTTACCTTACAAGCTACTTATGTTAGCCAAACAGGAAAGAAAGTAGAAGAGGAAACTTTGTGATGCCAATGAGCGCTCTGCTCCACAGTGGGTTGTTTTGGACTGTTTACATTCACAAGAAAAATGTGACTGGAGTAAGATCATGTGCCAATGTGGTGCCCTACAGGTGCTGTTAGGACTACAACTCCCATGATCCTTGACTGTTGGCCATGCTGGCTAGGGCTGATGGGAGCTGTAGTCCAACAACAGTTGAAAGATATCACAATGGCTGCCCAGCACAGGGCTGGGTAACCTGTGGCTCAACAAATGTTGCTGGACTCCAACTCCCATCATTCCTAGCCATTGTGCCCAATGGCCATGGATGATGAGAGTTGTAGTCTGACAGCAACCAGTTGGCTACTGGTTCCCCATTCGTGCCACAGTATTTTCATACATACAACTAAAATAATTTGATTCAAATCATTTTAATGTGTCATTTTTTAAAAGTGGGAGAAAAGGAATGGATACGCTTTCCTGTGATGAGCGAACATTTTAACATAATTACTGAACGGACTTCTAACACTATCAAAGAATAAATAATTGCAAGGGGTGGGCAGAGCAAAAAAAGAGAAAAGAATCCATGGTAATCATTTATTCAGTTTTATTAAAACCCATCTACTCTTTTGCTGGGAAGAAATACAATCCAGCAACGTTAATGGAAACGCTTGTCCAATTTCTGTTCTTCTTGAAAGAAAGGTGATGAAACGAACAGATATTTAGGGCCGGAATCCATTTAAAACAGAGACAGAAAGAGATTTTGGGAGTGTGAAGAATGAATCGTGCGTGCCTCACAATTGGGCAGAGGGTATGGACTGTGGTGGAACTGCGAGCCAATCAGCTTCGTTGCTGGGCTCCCAGGTGCTGAGGCTTCTGGGTTGGGTGGACCAGAGAGGAGACTGTGGAGGACTGGTGCACCCCAGGAGCATAAAAGGGGCTACATGCTTGATGCCTCCACCTCGGCCTTCGAGTGAGCTTCCCATCCACCCACCCTATAATGTTAACAATTGAAATTCTGGCATTTCTTTTCAGGTTACTTCATTCCTATTGTCACAACTGCTCCAGTCCACAGGGGATCTCCCCTAAGGGATCTTGGAGGGCAGCTGATACCATGTCATCCAAACCTGGACAAACTTTGGTTAACCTTAAGTACAATCCATGGAAACAAGCCAGCTTCAACCCATGGTTTATGAAACTGCTTTGTTTCCCACTAACCATAGTTAAGATTAACCACAGTTTAGAATCTGGACAACATGCTAAATTGAGGTGAATCTAAAATGGAAACAGAAGCTTCAAATCTCCCAGTTGTAGCTGCAGCATGTGACTCTGGAGGGAAGCTAGGCTTGTTCATGTACACCAAACCAAGATTTAGCATTACATCATCCAAACACAAGGAAGGTGGGTGGCACTGTGGGTTAAACCACAGAGCCTAGGACTTGCCGGCGGTTCGATTCCCCGCGACGGGGTGAGCTCCCGTTGCTCTGTTCCTGCTCCTGCCAACCTAGCAGTTCGAAAGCACGTCTAAGTGCAAGTAGATAAACAGGTACCGCTCCGGCGGGAAGGTAAACGGCGTTTCTGTGCGCTGCTCTGGTTCACCAGAAGCGGCTTAGTCATGCTGGCCACATGACCTGGAAGCTGTAAGCTGGCTCCCTCGGCCAATAAAGTGAGATGAACGCCGCAATCCCAGAATCGGTCACGACTGGACCTAATGGTCAGGGGTCCCTTTACTTTTACCTTTACCATCCAAACACAGCCACTGTAATACTGCATGTACTTGCAAAATAACATACCAGTTGAAATCCAGGACATCTTTCTGTTCAAGGCAGTGTACAAAGATCTTAATTTAAAAACGAAACAAAAAACAATAGGATATTTGTATGAGAACAGCTAGATATTATTTTCCAGACGTGAGTGTTGAACACAGTTAGTTGCTGACTCTGGGGTTTGATGACATGAGAGCAACTTAAACTGAGGCCTTGACTTCTCTAACCTAAAGTTCTGAATGCGTCAGACAGAGATAGCAGCTATCTCATCAGAAAAACCACAGAGGCTGTTGCCTTTTGTGAGTCACAGAATTCCTTTGAAATGAAGACCCAGAACGCATTTATAACAGCACTGGAATTTTCAGAATGAATGAAACTGGAAAAGAGGAGGCTGAGAGGAGATATGACAGCCATCTTCTAATATCCCTCTTGGAAGAGGGTGAAAGCTTGTTTTCTCCTGCTCTGGAGGGTAGGACTCGAATCAATGGCTCCAAGTTACAAGAAAGGAGATTCCAACTGAACATCAGGAAGAACTTTCTGACGGTAAGAGCTATTTGACCATGGAAGGTTGTGGAATCTCCTTCCTTGAAGGTTTTTGATCAGAGGTTGGATGGCCATCTGTCATGAATGCTTTAGTGGAGATTCCTGTATTGCAGGGGGTTGGACTAGATGACCCTAAGGATCCCTTCCAACTCTACCACCCTATGACATAATTTTGTGAGCAATGCAGCTGCTGAATAGCCTTTTTTGCCTTGTGAAAAAAATATAACGTGTCTTAGTTCTGTGAGGAAAATCTAAAGAAGTTACCATTCTTATTAGATATGCCCACAGGGAGGATCCAGTCTATACCCAGCACTCACCAAGCAGCAAAACTGTGCCTGGGCTTTATGGCTGCAAGCTATGGGTGGAAAATTAAGAACATCAGCAGAGCCTACTGGATCAAGCCAATGGCCCATCTAGGCTAGCATCCTGTTCCCACATCAGCCAACCAGATGCCTATGGGAAGTCTCCAAGCAGGACCTGATTGCAACTGAATGTACATAGCTATCGTGGCTGAATGCTGTCCCGTATACAGAATTTGTTGCACATAGAAAACCAGCTGCCAGGAAGAAGAGACTTCGGCAAGCCTTTTCTCCAACATCATTTGGTTTGTGTGGAAAGGAGCATTTGAATATGCCATCTCCCAGCTGAAATGATGCAGTCTGGAGAAAGTCTGACCTTAGGGTGAGTTGTTTCTTTGGAACAAACCCAAGGCATAAATAGTATCATGAGACCATCCTCATGCGATGGCCCACGCAGTCTAAACCAGAACCATCATGGAATTGTAGAGTTGGAAGGGACCCTGAGGATCATCTAATCCAACCCCCCACATTGCAGGAATATGCAGCTGCCCAATGCAGGGATCGAACCTGCAACCTTGGCGTTCTCAGCATCACACTCTAACCAACTGAATGTTATCCTGAACGGAGTATTTTAATAGCACTTGGGTTAACTGTTGAGGGTAAATCAAGTCTCCTGAATAGAGACTTGATCTGCTTAGTGGACTAAGAATGATGCCAGCAAAATCATACCAACAGCCCTCCTGGATCAGAGCACAAGGCCACCTAGTCTTGCCTGATTAGTGAGTACCGTGAGACCAAGGAAAAGAACATAAGGAGAGCACAGCATGATAATACAAAGGGGACAATCTCTTTCAGCATTCTGTTCCCACAAGCAGCTAATCAGATGCCTCTGGGAAGCTAGCTAGCAAGCAGGACAACATGACAACAGCTCTCTCTTGTTGTGGCTCACCAGCAGCTGATATTCACAACAGCATAGTGCCTCTGAACCTGCAGATTACATATGGCCGTTGTGTCTAGTAGATACCGATAGCCTTATTGTCCATGGTTTACGATCAGAAGCCTTGGGAAAACACAAGTGCTCTATTGCAATTAAGATTTGCTTCTCAGTTTAAACTATGCAACTGCCCACTGAGAACAAGGAGCCCTATTGTAGACAAAACCATCAGCCAACGTCTTTCAATGAAGGGCACCATTTTTGGAATCCCAATGCAAAGCAAGCTAAACTTAAGAAAGCATTAGCTCAAAATGCGGAACCAGAATTGTCAGGGAACTGCCATCGGAGCCAGGCGGAGAGGGAGGGCTTCAGAGGGATTCCGGAGAGTGTCCCGGGAGGGAGAGAAGCAGCACATCTTCTGGGGAAGGAAATCAGCGTAGCACCAGTGGAGAAGGGGGGCAGATGGGGGAATCGGCGAGGTGGCTCCATGACTCTTCGCCAGGGACCAGCGGGGAGAGCACGGGTCCTCCGCTGCCCACACCCTTCATGCGCAGAAGGCTTCCGCGCAGGGAGACTAGGCGGAGACTAGGCGTCAAAGAACTTTTGTGCTGGAAGAAGTTCAAGAAACACCCACTGACGGATTCTGCCAGCGATTGAGACAGCCACGGGCGAGTGGCTGTCCGGACAGAAAAGGTTCACTCAGGCAACCCAGCCAGGTGGGGAGCTGATTAACGCACGAGCAACACCTAGAACCATTACAAGCATGTTCGTAACACTGTTCACAAAGCACAAAGCGAACCACCGATTTGTCTGTTCCAAAACAACAACACCCCATGATCTTGCACTACATCAGCAAGCCAATGTATGTTAGTTTCAGCCACAACAGATAGTGAGAGCAATGGAGGTTTTAGGGGAAGCTGAAGTGTGGAGGAATGGAAGCAAGGCTGTTTGTGATGAACACGGTACAGGATGGAAATTGCTGCCTCCTCAAATACCGACTCTCACTTATTTACAACGGCGATCTTTTTTCCTAGCTAAATTCAGTTGTCAAAATGAAGAACGCTAACCAGGGTTGGATTCTTGTGGGAAAGGACAGTGAGCTCTCTTTAGTCTTGGTACTGAAAACAAATTCCTTGACTCAGAATGCACTCAGGGACACTTTGTTCTTACATTCCAACTGTCTTTCCCCCTTGCTTCTAGTTAAGAGCTCTTGGGACTCTAATAAAAACCAGATTAGATCTGGCAAGCCTGAAATCTGGATAATGTGCTACACCAGCCTTTCTCAACCTTGAGTCCCCAGCTGTTGTTGAACAACAACTCCCATCCTCCCCTAGCTAGCAGTAACAGTGGCCAGGGAAGATGGGAGTTGTAGTCCAGCAACAGCTGGAAACGCAACATTGAGAAAGATTGTGATACATGGACCAGAGGACTGATTCGGGATCAGCCAGGAAGAATGGATGCCTTTTTTGGACTGTTTAAAGAAATAATATAGTACAGTGAACTTGCAAGCAGGATTTGAGCTATGAGCAACAGAAGGAATTAGATTATTGTGGTTATGATTTGACAGATAGAAAATAGGGGACAAACTACAACTCCATGGGGAAAAGGGTGGGGTGTCAACAAAAATAAGAGGAAAAGAGAAATGGACACCTAAAACTTGAGCAGGCCAGTCATCTGCCCTGTTGTTGCTTTTTGCCACAGATTTTTTTTAAATGGCTGACAGTCTCTAGGATGGGAATCTGGATCACCCCCTAGAATGGCCTTACCTTGCGTGCCGGACATGTGAGAGCAGCATCAGCAAGTTTGCCAAGCGCGTCGTCTGTTGGGCCAAAGGGACCCCGCTCTTTGAAATGACCCACACCAAGGCGTCCGTCACAGAGTTCAGCAGGTGACTCAGTTTCTTGTTGCTCTCGGACTCTCCTCCAGCTGAGGAGATTGGATACATATCTACACAAGAAAGATGCCAAGTGAGCAGAGTTTAAGGAATAAGAGCTGTACTGCGTCGGGGTGTGTGTGTGTGGCTTATCTACAGTAGCTCAGCCTGGGAAGCTTCCCAAAGTGTGCTTGAGTGCAACTGTGGCCACTTACTTCCAGTTCCCAGAAACTGGTATTCAGTGGCAACTGACTGTGGAGGTAGAACATAGTTATGTGAAACTTTGTAGAGACACCCACCCACACGTGTTGAACATGTGTTATTCAGGAAGCTGCTCCATCCCAAATTGAACCATTGCTCCATCTCATTCAGTACTGACAGCACAGACTGGCAGCAGCTCCCCAGGGTTGTGGGTGCAACTTTTACCTACTCCCACCTGATAATGGCAAGGATTGAACCTTCTGCATACAATGCACTGAGCTGCAGCTATACTTTCCAAGGAAATAGATTTAGGATCAGGTGACAACTTGGTTCCAATTCCATACACAATGTGTGTGCCTGGAAATACTACATCTTCCATCACCTCTATATGGAAAAATTGAAGTCATCTCCATAAATTGGTTGACTCTAGAACATTTTCGCCACCGAGATTATGATTTAAGAAAGAAAATGGGAGTGACATATGTCATACGTTTCCATTAATTACATATAGGAACTGCCTTGAAACGGGTCAGAATATTCACCCATCAAGCCCAGTAATGTCTACACTGATTGGCAGTGGCTAACAGGTGGAGGTCATTCCCAGACCCTGCTCCCTGCTCCTTTTAAGTGAGATGTAGAGATTAAGGGCTGGTAAAGTAAAGGTAAAGGGAACCCTGACCATTAGGTCCAGTCGTGACCGACTCTGGGGTTGCGCGCTCATCTTGCTCTATAGGCCGAGGGAGCCGGCGTTTGTCCGCAGACAGCTTCCGGGTCATGTGGCCAGCATGACTAAGCCACTTCTGGCGAACCAGAGCAGCACACGGAAACACTGTTTACCTTCCCGCCGGAAAGGTCCCTATTTATCTACTTGCACATGACGTGCTTTCAAACTGCTAGGTTGGCAGGAGCAGGGACCGAGCAATGGGAGCTCACCCCGTCATGGGGATTCAAACCGCCGACCTTCTGATCGGCAAGTCCTAGGCTCTGTGGTTTAACCCACAGCGCAACCCGTGTCCCTAAAGGCTGGTATCCAACCTTAATTTCACATCACCCTAGAACAGATTTAGGATGTATGCCTGGGTTAGGAGACGGTGCAAGCAAAAAACTTGTGCCAACCGAACACCCTATTTGGATTCTGCCTTAAACTTGAGACCTTTTGCAAATACGTATGCTTTTCCCATGCATACCGCAGGAGACAGAAGCAAGAATTCATCTCAGTGTTGCTGTTTGCATCTGGAGCTCCTGGTTCTTCATAACAGTATTTGCCACAGGCAGCCTAATTATTATGGGCTTGTGGTGACGTGAAAGAGGCAGGTCCTCTCTCTGGTCACATCAGTATTATGCAGTGCTATTTTTCTGGGATGCGGGTGGCACTGTGGGTTAAACCAGAGCCTAGGATTTGCCAATCAGAAGGTTGGCAGTTCGAATCCCAGCGACGGGGTGAGCTCCCGTTGCTCGGTCCCTGCTTCTGCCAACCTAGCAGTTCGAAAGCATGTCAAAGTGCAAGTAGATAAATAGGTACCGCTCTGGCGGGAAGGTAAACGGCGTTTCTGTGCGCTGCTCTGGTTCGCCAGAAGTGGCTTAGTCATGCTGGCCACATGACCCGGAAGCTGTACGCTGGCTCCCTCGGCCAATAAAGCGAGATGAGCGCCGCAACCCCAGAGTCGGTTACGACTGGACCTAATGGTCAGGGGTCCCTTTACCTTTATTTTTCTAGGAAAAGAGGTGCTAGAACTCCCTTGTTCTCTTATAATGGCAACGGTGCCCTCCAGAGAGGTGCCGGAACTGAGTTCCGGTGCGTTCCGGCTGAAAAAAAGTCCTGGTGTTACAGGAATGCCCTCCCCGCTGAAATACAAAAGGCCCCTGAGGTAACGGCACTCTGTCAGCTCTTGAAGAAACCACGGTTGATCTCTTGAGAGGGGTCTCTCAGTTATGATGGCTGTACTGTTTTGCAGCATATTTTAATCACCGTTCTTTATTTCGGTGTTTCAGTGGGTGTGCTTTAATGAAGGAGGTTGGCATTTTGTAGTTGGCTTTCATAGCTTCGAACGGCTTAGAAGCAGTATATAAATTAATAAAGGTAAAGGTAAAGGGACCCCTGACCATTAGGTCCAGTCATGACCGACTCTGGGGTTGCAGTGCTCATCTCGCTTTATTGGCCGAGGGAGCCGGCATACAGCTTCCGGGCCATGTGGCCAGCATGACTAAGCCGCTTCTGGTGAACCAGAGCAGCGCACGGAAACACCGTTTACCTTCCCATCGGAGTGGTACCTATTTATCTACTTGCACTTTGACGTGCTTTCGAAGTGCTAGGTTGGCAGGAGCAGGGACCGAGCAACGGGAGCTCACCCCGTTGCAGGGATTCGAACCGCCGACCTTCTGATTGGTAAGCCCTAGGCTCAGTGGTTTAACCCACAGCGCCACCCGCGTCCCATATAAATTAATAAATAACAGTAAATGTCTGAGGCCATGACTTGGTGAGAGAAAGGAATCCTTAGTTGAGAGGTAGCAACCAGAGTTACTACCTAGAATGGTACGTCTGTGCGATTGGTGGGTATTAATTTTATTTTGATATTTTATACGGTTTCATCCGTGAGTGGTGTCGTCTCCTGGTGTTTCTGCAATAATTTTTTAGTCGAGTGGAAGGCGTGATTGATGTTAACGGGCAACTGAGTGGGAGATATTGGAGAGATTAGGTGGAGGGTGTGCTTGTGAGTATTGGTGGAAGAGTGTGATCAGTGAGAATAGAATGGGATGGGTGATATTGGATGAGTAGCGTGATTTGTTTCAATGTAAGAGAGAATTTGGATGGGATGTTCCTGTGTTTGTGAGGGGAGTGTTGCATATTGCAAGCTAGAACGTGTCTTGGAAAGATGACAGGCAAAGAGGGAAGAGAAGATGTTTGGAACTGTGCTGCTATGTTTTTATGCTGACACTTTAAAAGCTCATCTGTTCTTTACAGTGCTCTTTCACAAGTTAATTATCTTGACTCAGGAGAACTTTGCCAGCATCTCTGTTTAAAAGCCACCTTTTCAAACACCTTTGGCTTAATCCCTTTATCTTCATTCTCCACCCCAACCCAAGTTAAATATGTGTAATTGCATTTGCTCATATTCTCTCTCTAATAATCTCACCCCTTCCATTCACTGTTCTTTCTTTTCTCGCCTCTTCTCCTGCTAACCCAGTTGTCCCGCCATCACTGCTGAAATGTCATTTGTACGTTCTTTGGGGCAGGGACTTAAAAAAAAAAATCCTACAAAGCCTCATGCACATTGAGGGCGAGGATGTTTAGTGAAACTAGCAAAGTGGCAGTTAAGAACATGCTTCCCCCCTTTGAAATATTGATATTTCATGTTATTTCATTGAAGATTCGCAGACAAATAGCAGCTGGATGTATCTGCCACATTCAGAGTTGGGCAGCAGCCTGTGGTCTGATAAGAGCAGACCTAAGGGAACACAAGGGACGCGGGTGGCGCTGTGGGTTAAACCACAGAAACTAGGACTTGCCGATCAGAAGTTCGGCGGTTCGAATCCCCACGACAGGGTAAGCTCCCGTTGCTCTGTCCCTGCTCCTGCCAACCTAGCAGTTTGAAAGCATGTCAAAGTGCAAGTAGATAAATAGGTACCCCTCCAGCGGGAAGGTAAACGGCATTTCCGTGCGCTGCTCTGGTTCGCCAGAAGCAGATTTGTCATGCTGGCCACATGACCCGGAAGCTGTCTGCGGACAAACGCCGGTTCCCTCGGCCTATAGAGTGAGATGAGCGCACAACTCCAGAGTCAGTCACGACTGGACCTAATGGTCAGGGGTACCTTTACCTTTACCTTTTTAAGGGAACACAACAGCCACTTCCCAGAAAAAATGAAAGCAGTTTTAAATCCCATTGCTCCCTAGGACAGCCGTGTGCATAAGGATGAACAGCAGCGTGATTCAAACCAAGTGTGAGGGACAGGGGCAGCCTGTCCTACCTCTCTGCCTGAGGCAAAATGGGGCACTTCTGTGGGCACAAAACTCCCCTTGCCACCCCCTCCATAGCCTCGCTTATCAGGGTTACATGGCTGGCAAGATCTCACTGGCAGTGGCAGAGCGAGCAGATCGGGTGCCTGGGGTGGCATGCGTGCCCTGCACCCTGGGGTGGGGCCAGCGAGGGCAGGATACTCCACGGGGCCTCTGAGGAGTCTGCCTGCCTCCTCCCACTCAGCCGCCCTACAGCTGAAGGGGAGGCAGCGGGCGGACCGTTTGGGGCAGCGCGGAGCCTGTGGGCACCCAAGCCAATGCATCACTAACAGGAAAGATGTGTGGCTCAGGCGCGCTACAGGCCCCGCGGTGAGTGCCGCCTGGCATTTTGTCACCCCCCTCAGTGGCGACACCCGGGGTGCCCTGCCCCCACCGCACCCCCTTCCTCCGCCCCTGCTCACTGGGCTCTCACAAGATTTTGTGGGGCTCCCACGAGAACTCGCCAGAACCTGAAAGCCTCCGCTTCTCTTCCCTTCTCCAGTGACGGTGGGGAGGCGTGTCCACAGAGGTGCCCCTTGGATTCTGCCGCCTGAGGCAGTCACCTCAGTCTGCCTCACGGATGGGCAGGCACTGAGGAGTAACAGCTCAAGTCCCAGGTTGCACGCAGCTTCATTTAGGGTCCTTAAGTTTTGCCTTTGGGGAGTATAACAACACGGTGTCTAGGATGAAGCGGCATGTGGTGACCTCAGTATTATTTCTGTGTACCAGTCATAAAACCATTAGAGCATGAGGACGGAAAAAGCACTTAGGGCATTTATTACTCCCTTTACCTTAATGGCTCTTGTGCCCTTTCGTATTTCTTCTGCTACCACCCAACTTTTTGTTCCCGGTAATAAGTACAGCTTGACATGACTGAAGCGTCTACTCACTGGAATTGAGGAGGATCATGGCCTTGACACAAATATATTCCTTGTGCTGCAATTTCAGCTCCCGGAGCCTTGAAGTCGTCGCCAAGAGCATGTCAAAGATTTCCAAAATTCCTTCCACACATTTCCCTTCATCCCTAATTTTGGAGACATAAAAGAATTACTGAGGACACAAAACAGCATTTCCTTTTTTAAAAAGCCAAAACAAAAACACACCAGTATGCTCTAGTATGTACAGTGGTACCTCGGGTTACAAACGCTTCAGGTTACAGACTCTGCTAACCCAGAAATATTACCTCGGGTTAAGAACTTTACCTCAGGATGAGAACAGAAATCGCGTGCCGGCGGTGTGGCAACAGTGGGAGGCCCCATTAGCTAAAGTGGTACCTCAGGTTAAGAACAGTTTCAGGTTAAGAACGGACCTCTGGAACAAATTAAGTTCTTAACCAGAGGTACCACTGTATTTGCCTTTTTTGTTGACATCCAGTTTTTGTTTTGTCTTTGAAAAGAGCACCTAAGTGTCTTGCACAAAATCCTTGTCCTTCACTTTACAATGCAAATGAAGAACCTGCAGCCCCTCAGAAGTTGTTAGGCTACAATCCCTCACTATCTCTGCTGACTGGAGCTGGTGGGAGTTTGGGAGGAGAGGAGAAATTCAATTTTATTTGCATTGTAATTAGAAACAACGTAATTTGCACTTGTTCCACCCATACACAAACTAAAACACAGTTATCCTTTGACATTCACACTTCACTGAATTTTGGTCTCCAACCAAACAATATGTACAACAGTGCATATATTAGGGGGAAATGTGCATAATATATTAGTGAAAATAACATACGAAATGTAGTATATTAGAGGAAATTGTTGCAGAGAAATTCACATGAAAATGCTGGCAAATATTCATGAGAATTGTTTATTTGCAAAAATCGTAAGTTGCTGCACTAATTGTGGTTAACTTAATTTAAGACCGGCAAAATAAACTTAGAGACCTGAAACTGAAGATTCATCCATTCCTATCCAGGAGTCCAGCAACATCTGGAGGGTCACAGATTCCCAATCCTGGCTTGAAATTCACCCCAGAAAATTATTACTATATTATTATTATTATTATTATTATTATTAGCAGCCTATCACCATATGCTCTGCTTGGCAATCATCTGGAGGTTTCTAGTGGTGAGTGCAGTTATTCTAATGTTAGGAACTGTAATTTGAAAGGTTTCTTTAGCTTGGTCGGTAGAACATGAGATTTTTAATCTCAGGGTCGTGGATTCGCGCCCCATGTTGGGTGTAAGACTCCTGCATTGTAGGGGGTTGGACTAGATCATGGATAGGCAAACTAAGGCCTGGGGGCTGAATCCAGCCCAATCTCCTTCTAAATCCGGCCCCCGGACGGTCCGGGAATCAGCGTGTTTTTACATGAGTAGAATGCGTCCTTTTATTCAAAATGCATCTCTGTGTTAGTTGTGGGGCCTGCCTAGTGTTTTTACATGACTAGAATGTGTGCTTTTATTTAAAATGCATCTCTGGATTATTTGTGCAGCATAGGAATTCGTTCCCCCCCCCAAAAAAATACAGTCCAGCCCCCCACAAGGTCTGAGGGACAGTGGACTGGCCCCCTGCTGAAAAAGTTTCTGACCCCTGGACCAGATGACCTTTGTGGTCCCTTCTAACTCTATGATTCTATGGTTTAAGGACTTCAAATATTTTCATTATTACAACAAAGGCCCAACTAGTCCTCTTCCCACAACAGCCCAAAAGATGCTCTGAGAAGGTCACAAGCAAGGCATGAGAACAACAGAACTCATACAGTGGTGCCCCGCAAGATGAATGCCTCGCAAGACGAAAAACTCGCTAGACGAAAGGGTTTTGCGTTTTTTGAGTCGTTCCGCAAGACAAATTTCCCTATGGGCTTGCTTCGCAAGACGAAACGTCTTGCGAGTTCTTGCGAGTTTGTTTCCTTTCTTTAAGCTACTTAAGCCGCTAAGCCGCTAAGCCGTTAATAGCCGCTAAGCCGTTAACAGCCGCTAAGCCGCTAATAGCCGTGCTTCGCATGATGAAAAAACTGCAAGACGAAGAGACTCGAGGAACGGATTAATTTCGTCTTGCGAGGCACCACTGTATTTGCCAGTTTTCAGAGGCTTGTCATCTCCAATACTGATGGTGGAATGCAGTCATCATGCTTGGTAGCCACCATGGATAGATTCATCCTCCACGGATGTCTTATCCCCCATTAAAGTGTCCACATTGGCAGCCCCCACAATGTTTCTGTGCCACAAGGTTGAAATGCAAATCAAACTAACAAGCAAAAATAAAAAGGAGCACCTTAACCCCAAAAGACGATTCATTTTCTCACCTGTCGAGTACGAGATCTGGCGCGAAGATGAGCTTGCCAGGGTGATCGATGGATCTCCACATCAGACCCACCATCAACACTTCGAGCCAACAGCTTTCCAAAAGCCTTACTTGATCGAACAGACTGAGTTCTATAAAGCCTTTATGGGGAGGAAAGGCGGGGCGTGTCATTACATCATAAACATCCGCTTAACCATCCAACTTTTTCTAGAACGGAAAAGTGTGACTTTCGAAAGCATCAAATCATTTCAGAATCAGAACTTTGAATGCCTCGCATCTTTGAATGTCATTTTTAAAACCAGAGAAGCCATGAACTTTTCCAGGCTGGCAGGACTTAATCTCTTGATCTCACGGGGCTTTGGGCATTGTGCGTCATCCTCCCGAAGAGGAGATATGTACACGGGAAACCCAGGGCGGCAGGTGCTGGAGAGGCTGACAAGGATCTGAGCAGACAGGAAAGCCAGTTTGTTTCTACATGCCCATATCCATTAATACAAGTGGGACAGCAACAAAATTCTGCAGTGTGTCCCCAGCCCCTAAGAGAAGCGTTTCTGTTGATCGATCCAGCAAACCTGCAATTGCTTAATACTGTAATTGGGGAGGCAGCTAAAGGGGAAAAGGAGACCTTCATTTTCACTTGCAACCTTCCGCTGTTGTGCTAAACATATCAGGTAGCAGGTAATGGAAGAGACCTTCTACCTGAGACCTTGGATAGAGCTGGTAGCAGTTGATGTCAACAATACTGAGCTAAGACAAACTGGCTGAGTCAGTATAAGGAATAGCCTTGAACTGGAACATTTTATACTTGTGAGGGGTTCTGGAGAGTTGGAAATGGAAAAACAGTTTCCCTTTCCCTTTCCTTCCTTCTGAAGTAGCCTTGTATAATGCAAGGGATGGAGCTTTCTAATGTCTAATCCAGACGTATGGCAAGCCGTGTCGGAAGTCTAGATTTTGGCGAATTCCCTTTAAAATAGCTTCCTCTCTTTTTTTTTGAGATCTTGCAAGCTCAGCAACTTTGGGCAAAACTAAAAAAAAGTTCCACAACTTTTGTGTCCGGATTTTCACTCTCTGAAATATGACAACCCCAACGCAAGAGGATCAACAAGCTTGGCTAGTTTCTGCTTGTTCCTGGTCTGCTCATAAACCAACTCCTTATCTTTTTTGGATTACTTCTTTTAACAAAACTGATCCCCATACTTGTGCTGTTGGCACACAGGATGAAGCCTGTCTCCAGACAGGAATGTCAACAAAAGCCTCCCTTTCCCTTTTCTTTTTGAACTGTGGTATATTTCAAGGCAGCGAAGAAAAGCAGGCAGAAGCAGCAGCACGAGAGGCGAGCAAAGTATAGACCACACAAATGCAACTTGGGAAATGAAAGAGATCTTCCTTCCAGAACTTTGCAGTGGCAACGCAGTGCAAAAAGCCTGCCATATGGACCCGGTCTTAGTGCCGTGGTGCTGTGCTCTCTCAAATGTCCTGCTCCGTCATTTGGGATGCTAAAGAAAGGGCGAGGAGGGTATCCTCACTAAAATGAGGGCCGCTGGGAAATTAACGGATGGTGATCCACCCCGCGGGATCTCTCACACCCCCTCCTACACGCTACATC